CATCATCCCGTTCAGATGAAGCCTGCTGATACGGAAAATAGAAATGGTAGAGTCTTAAGCCTGTTTTGATACTCGTAAGCTAGGCGAATCCGAATGCCCGAATTTGTTTAGAGAGGAAATTGTTTATCGGACAGTTGGCCAAGAAGCACAATGAAGACGACATTCGTAATTATTTCGGAAAATTCGGGCATATTGAAGAGTGCACTGTGCTGCGGGAAGCTGACGGTAAAAGCAGAGGTGAGCCGATGAGAAATAATTTTGGTTTTCCACAATGCGACAAAAAGAGGGACGCTTTCTGTGCGGTTTGGGAATGACTCAGGCAGATTTCGCAACGAGCCAGCTAAAAGTTGGCAATGAGCCAGCTAAAAGTTGGAAACGGGGGGGGGGTTTAGGAACTAAAGTGTATGTGCTAGTTGACTCGTCCGTGAAGGAAAATGTGTGAGGGAGCCGTCAAAAGCGCTGCATGTAGGGCTCTAGTTGAGCCAAGCGAGTGACAAAGAATCGATGTGGATATCGGACGAGAGTTGCGAGGATCGAAAGGAGGACTTTGAGACGATAAGCTACCGCAATAATGCAGTGCAGCAGATAGGCAGTATCCGTGCACTGTGGGCGGAACTCTGACCTGACGCAAGCCTTACTGCCTGTTAAGCCGATAAGCTTACTTAACTACTTCTACGTGAAAACTCGTCCAAGGTTGTCCGTTGCAATTCACACTACCTTTCTGTCCGATACACTTAGGCACCTATTACTAAGCGTGGGCTCCGCCCTCGAATTTAAAGCCGGCGGCTTAAAGACCAGCTTAAAAGCAGAGACCACGTCATTCTGATTGTCTGAGCTCAGCTCTTCATACGGAGAGGTACTGTGGACTGCAATCAAGCACTTGTAGAATTTTTACGTCAGAAAGTGGTAAGGTAGCGGAAGTAGGGCACAAAAGACTCAAGTCGTTCAAGTGACTCCGCCCACGTTGATAGATGTCTTGCCTGCTGCCTTGCTATTTTGCATGCTCTCTCGCGCTTTCTCTGGCCTCTCGCCCGATATGAACATGATTCCTTCTCCCTTGCCTGGCACAAACAGGGCCTTTGATAAAAGCGTTCCCGACTGTTTTCGCTTCTATTTTCTTCACGGATAAGTCAACTGGCACATCCACTGCTGTTTCTTACCTCGCCGCCTGCGAATCGATGGCTCATCGCACAGTCTGCGTTTAATAGTGAAGGAAAGCAGAAAAATCGGTCGCGCCAATGCCCTATATATGACCCTCCCCCACCAATGCCAGCTTGTACGTGGAAGGAGCAGGCGTATTTGTATGAAATCTCACTTGTTATCATTACGACATCAGCGCCCTTTATTACCTCACTCTCAGCACTAGGAATGGAGAAAGGAAGTAGTGTGGCTACTAGCTAGTACGTGGTAGCTTCTGGGGGTCGGCATGAGCGTAAGGGGTGATCACGGGCCTAACTATTCAGCTTTCACCGGATTCCCTGCAAATTTTCACTTTTTCAATGTAGTAAAGCCTCTATAATCGCCTAGCGGATCATCTGGCACATTTGAGAGGTTATATCCTCAGTTGATTGCGGGATGTGCCTTTATGGTTCTATTCAGATGTTTCATAAGAGCGAGGGATGAATGTCGTCATTCATAGTGAAGTTTTGTTGATCAGTGCCGAACATCATCCATTTTAAATGTCCATGTTTCGTTACAAATCGGCGTGCGTACCCATGTGATGTTCTCTTTGTCATCGCGTGTTTGGATCTCCCCAGCATGGCTTTCTGTCGATATTTTGCAGATTGCTCATTAGAAACCATTATGGTACTGCACAAGACCATCGAGTTCTTCATACACTTGGAACATTTGTCTTGTTCATTTAAGAAATCGAAATCAGCTTCACTAACATGTTGCGTTATGTCGTTCCAGAAAAGAGAAACTGTGGTCTAGTTCGCCATGGACGAAGGGGCGTGTCAGGCGGGATGATGCCAAACCCGTTCTCCACCACTTATTAAAGCGAGCAAGTGACTAGACTGTATCATATGTCATATCACTCGTTTTCTACCAATTCTTGTCGCATACTCGCTACAACAACTGGCAAGCACGGGTTTGGCGTCGTCACTCACACTGCCTGACACGCCCCTTCATCCGCAGCGAACTAGAGTATATTTATTCATAGAATTGTTGAGAAAGTCCTGTGCTCTGTTCAACTTTGGTCAATTTATGTGTCCGTTTTGTGAGCTTGGCGTCTTTTGCAGGATGGAGATGTCCAATAACACCCGAACGATTATAAACAGTAGTGAAGGCGATTGCTAAGAGAGATTGACTAACCCAATGTTCGGGAAGGGATCACTGAGAAAAAAAGGAATAGGCACATAAACAGCCGCCAGATAAGGGCAGATTCTGATGGGAATAAATGTAATGCATATCCCCAAAAGGGACTGGAGTATGATATGGCTTTGCCAGCCAAGGAGGGGGGGCAGAGCGACGCAAATTGACGGTCCGCCGACCCGCCCCCCCTCGGCTCCTTAAGGTATCTCCAACGAATGCGCCGGATAGCGCGCGGCGTCGTGTGCACTGTGGGGAAGAAAGTTGTATTGACTAAAGATGTTTGGCCAGCTTACAGTTTAACCCTTTACTCGCTCCAGTCTTCCGATCGAGCCAGTATTGGCCGAGTTTTATATCTCCATGAGAACAATTGGTGGCTCAACATGTTTATGCCCTGAGTATTTTGTCCACGATCGAAATACGAACTATCACATAATCGCACGTGCGCGCGAAATCTGGCTGCCGCATGATTTAGAAGGGTAGTTTCGTGGCGCCGGCGCCCGTGGCACGAAGGCGCCAGGAGATTTCAATACCGAGCGAGATTATTTGTGTTCAAGAGGTCTAGAACTACCCCGTGGGAACAAGTGTAAGCAGCGAACATTCTGTTCACGTGGAGAAGAAGATGCGGTCAGCAAAACTGGCCAGGGATTTCCAGGACGACACTGGAAGCAGTAAAGGGTAGATAGGGCCCAAGTTCTTATCTCGAGGCCAAACACGACCACCTCAGCCCACGGCTAGAGAGTCGCCCCTTAGTCAAAACGACAGTGCCCTGTCTAAATACCAATGGTGAATGGCGTCGTAAATGGTGGTAACCGTCAGTTCTTCTTGAACTGGGCTGCGTCAACGAAAGAAGCAAGCGAAAATTTAGCACGGTAAGAATCCGAAGAATTGTGTAAGGGGCGAGAACCGTCAGAAAAGGAGCTTGAGAAGGCTCTCACTTACACGGCCCTCTCCATATGAGCAGATAGTGTAGTGGGGTAGGGGGTGTAGACGTTGCCTACCCTTATCGCGGAAGGGTCGCTCACATTCGAACGTAACACTGTGGCACTTGCAAGCTGTGTGTATTATCCGTATATGTTTCCAATCGCTTATGTGTCCAATAAATATATATTTGTTGAGAGATCACTGTAATGAGCCTTTGTTTAGTGTGGTCCTTCTATGCATATTTTATCTCATGCAGCTTGTATGTGACAGGGGCTAGCAAGTAAAGTCGCGCAATGTGTAGAGGTTTGTATGGGTGTGCAATGGTTACAGCTGGTTTTGTCCTTACGTAGTTGGGTCATGTTGTGTTAATTAGTGGGACGTTCAAAAAACATCAACATGCGCCCCTCAAAGACTCGTGCGGCCGTTTAGTACGATTGATGTTCTCTTGTTGGTGGTGGCTATAATAGGGTCTTGGTAGCTGGGGATGCAGCTTAGGGCATGTCAATATTCTAAATACTCGCATGCTACTTGTTGATGACGGCCTTATTGGCGTCAGCCTTTCAGGGCGACAAAGTCAGATTTTGTTGAAGAACTGCTTCTCTTCAGGGGCGATCTCGCCAAAATTTGGGGTCCCTAGAAAGAGTTCTTTGAACCCGTGAACACCTGGCCGGGGCAAGGGAAAGTCCTCATGTTTTCCACTAAGGGGCCTTTGGCTTCGGTGTCTGCTGCACGGGTGCTGGAAAGCGGTTTCTCGTCCAACATTTATGTTCAGAGTGTCTCTAAATTCCGGAAATTGCGGCCACAAGGTACCTTGGCCAAATCTACTCAATGAAGGGAACACCTTCGATCAAAAATGCGCCTAAATTTTTGAAAAGTAGAGCAGTTAAAGAGCAGTGAGCGCGAGATGGTGAGGTGGGTGGTTTGTGTGCTCAAAGCCGTCATCTGTTGGAATGGCTTCGGCCGGAGAAGACTAATTGGCCACAACAGAACGAAAAGAGAGACCAGCAAGAAAAAGCGAGATAAGGAATACGAGGAAAAGTAAAGAAGAAGAAAAGAAGAGAAAAGGAAAGAATGAAAGAAAGAGCGGACGAGGAAGACCCTCTACCTCAGCCTTCCGACCAGTGACAGTTGGCGATAGCAACCCGGGCCGCCAGCAGTCGTGTCCAGTGCCTGTTAACGGTAAATAGGTACCAACCGAGACGACCCAGCCCAAAAAGAGATACTAGCTAATCAGACGGAGCTGCAGGAAACACCATCATAGAAAATCACATGTCACAGTGATTAGGAACATTCAGAAATGTCTAAAACGGATAAGGCATGAGCAGAAAATGTAAAGAACTTCAGGGGAGTTCGTATGGAAAAACTTGGGAGCCAGGAGCGAGAAGTGTCGGAAATTTTTGTGCGAGAAAGATCGTGTGAGAGAGCGGACGTCGTGTTTCACTAGGGAAAGAAATTCTTGCATTAAAAAGACTCGTGACAAGCTTAGCCCGTCACGGTCAAGTGTAAAGGGAGCGGATCTTGACTGGAATTCACTTTCACGCGGCCAGACTGAATCCGCTGGCCACTTCTGAAAAGAAATGGAGGACTGGAAACCATTTAATAGAAACTGAATATATGCGGTTTTATATGATTTTCCTGAAAATGACAGTAAAATCATTTATTCCCGCAACTGTGAATAGGGTTTTGGGCTTTTCCTTTCCAACTATATTTCTTTTTCTGCTGAGCTAGCACGATTTTTCATAGATACATTACACTGATGAACTGTTTTGCAGGGTTGTTCTGCCCCGTTGGTGGTAAAGTTTGCTGATACTCAACGCGAGAAGGAAGTAAAGAAACTTCCTGCTGCTGCTGGAAGCATAACGTCGGCTGCTTCCGGCTTGGCCTCATTGGGCAGTCAAGCGGCTTTATTGCAGCAGGTAAGCTGCCTTCAATAATAACTCCTTAACACCCTTACGTTTTCGGCACGCTCATTTGGGTGTTATTCGGGTTGGGGAGGGGGAAGGGTATCTGCTCACACTCCTGCTAGACATGATACGTCGACATGAATCGCCACGTTGATGGACTAATAAGACGTTTACGAGGTTTGATTACGATATTGATAGGAGCATTGATTGATATGAGTGAGATGAGTTTTAAACTGCACAGGCTTAGCGCTTCCACTTTTCTTATGCTGAATGGCCCAATTCCGAAAGGTACTAATATAGTTGTGACCCAGGATAGGGGAGTTGCCAATACCTAAGAGGAAGGTGAACCGCGACGGGTTGATGAACTAGTGTGTTGTAGAGAAAGGTTTTCTTTGCTTGATAATCGCGCTGTTTTTTTCTTTCCTAGCTAATTTTCTTTGTTCCGGGATACTACACCCAGGGTACAGCATCGTGATGTGTGAAATGGTGACGTCGATACGACCCCCCCCACCTAAAAGGGAGTCTCGCTGCGTCCCCCCCCCCCCTTCCCCAACACCTCCTACCACTTTCCTACGTTCCCAGCTTCCAGCCCCCTAGCAGTTTTCACCCGAACCAAAAAAATTTTCAGTCGAGGATCGGGGGAAGGGGGGGGGTGAATGGCCATGTGAAGGCACGAAAAGTTCTCGCCAGAAGGCCAGAAGTGAAATGGCGACCCCCCCCCTCCGCCCGCGCCTTCCCAAGCGGCTCAAGTGACGACCTCCCCCACCCATGTGTTCCACACAACTATGCTGTACCCTGACTACACCATGAGGCGGGGGTTGTAGTAGGAAGTGGTCTAGGGGTCAAATCCTAGAGCGGCTCCCGCCCAGTTTAATTTATCAAGGTGGCGTATCAGCCGTTCGTATCACTGCTCAGTAGAAGTACTCATATCATCGCCTAGTAGAGGTGCACAATTTTTCACCCCCCTCCCCCCCCCTCCCCACTCCCAAGCCGAACACTGCCCTCATTTCTCTCACAAGGGAAGCGAATATTATTCGGAGACTGTAATCTTTTAACATCGTGCAGTCGTGCGTTGAGAGTGCTAGTAGCTAGGGGAATTTAAATGAAATTAAACTGTCTTTACTGAAATTTAAATGAATTAAACTGTCTTTGCTGAGAGATTGTCGACCTAAACGATCACAGTTCTGAGGAATTTCTTAGTGACCCTCCCCCTCTGGAACCCTCGACACAATCTGATACTCTTTCCTTCAAAGCATCTGGTATACTCTAATGAAAAATCTGTTGTATCACCAAATCGGGAGTGAATATTTTTCTGATCTTGACATAGGCCAACAGAGTATTTGTGCATGCCAAAAGTAATTCATTCAGCCTATACATGACTTTTGGAGATCGATTAATGTCCAGTTCCCTTATGGGACAGTATTGTAGTTTGGTCTAAAAAAATCTCTGATTTGGCATTTGGGCATTGGGTGCATGGACCATACCTGCGTGGGCACCGACTCCTGCCGTTGCTCTTATTCTTCCATATTGAATTCCCAGTAAAGATTTCTTTGAAACTTTCATAACATATTTGTTTGCCTGAGACGTGAAAGCGAAATGATACGTTGAAGGTGATAATCCATGGCAAGCGTGCCGGTCTCTTGCAGCGCTCCTTTTTTCAAGGGGGTCTTATAAAAACAGTAAGTTGTGTGGGCAGGCCCACTTTCCCTTCAATCTGGCAGTACGGTTTCTTATAGCCATAGTAGTAATTGAGGTCTGTAGCTGTTTCAGCTGGCTGGTGGCGGAGTGAATCTACAGGCTTTGAGCGCTTTGGCTGCATTGTTCAATCCTGGTGTGCAGGCGCAACAACATAACCTGCTCGGTGTTCTTGGAGGAGGTTCGTGGGCATATTTTTCGAAGATTTCTTCTGTATTATAGTATCTAACTGATAGTTTTAGTGCTTTCGGCGTTGGGTAAGCTCACGGAAGGGGGTTCCGGGGCAGTGAACACTGGCGTTGCTACTAGCGGCAGTATGTCTGCTCTAGTGCAGAACGGGCAGAGCGCTGCGAGCAAGGCTCAGCTAGGTAAATGACTCGTAGTGAATGCTGCTGTGACTCTGCTCAGTTCCATCGTCGTGTTAATTGGCCCTCCAGAACCGGCATTTTTGCACTAAACTGTTCTGTAGCTCATTGGGATGGTTTGAATAAAAAACGATATCTTCTAAAAGGGTTCTGGAGGGTTTCTACCGTGGCGTAAATGTGGTGCGCTTGGTGTACGGATCAAGTCGTCAGAGGTGTCTTGTGCACCCTTCTTGATCTTGTCGTTGCTGACTTTCCTTACTCCCTACTTGCATGTGTAGAATGGTTAAGTTTCCATTCTTACATCTTATTTTCGTTTGTTGTTCAATGCTATGGGTCTGTTGTGGCGAGTATGATGGTGCAAAAGTATTCAACAATTAGCCTTAGTATCCCTAACAACGTTATCACTCCAGTATTTTCGTTTGCTTTAACACTTCCGACCTGCTTAGCGAACGAAGTGCTGGTGCAAATTTCAAAAGATTTGCACCAACGGGGCATGAAATGTTGGTGTCGGACAGTATACACACAAACGTACAACATACTATTGTTTTCAGCCGCTCTACTTCATCAAAACCCAATCCAAACTCAAAACCTTGAGACCATTGCCCAACTTCAACAGGCTCAACTCCAGCATGCTCAATTAGCTCAGGCTCAGGCTCAAGCTCAAGCACAGCATCAACAGCTTTTTGCAATGCAAGTTCAGGCTCAACAAGCTCAGCCCGCAGGTGAGCATTTTCCGTGTTGTATCAAATTTAGGTTAAGTAAGTGAAGAAGTAATTACGCAGAGTGTCAGGCGTTGCCAGAATCGAAGATATTGAAGTAAAAAGATGGGTAAAAGAAAGCTCGGCGCAGTTCGGCCTTGGGGGTGGGCATTTGGCACTCTCGCTGCTTCACTAGTTCCGGTTTACAAGTCTCACTCGAGTGAAACTTGTGAAGCTGGAGCAAGCTCGTCAAGCCAACGGTAAATTCTGTCAACTATTGTAAGCTCGCGGATTTCTAGATGGGTCAATACGTCGATGGGAAGCAGTAAAGTGCAAAATGCCCCCCCCCCTCCTCGCCGAATTGGCTCTTAGACAAAAAAGTTATACGATTCTCCGGTTCGGTACGGAGTTAGCGGTACAGGGGCTGGCCAAATAATGACGGATCGCGGCGTCTGTAAAAGCGATTAGGAACAAAGACAAAAAGGGGAAGTTTGCGAACTTATGTGTGGTGGCGTGGAAGTGTAGGGTGTACGGCCCAGGCAAGAAAGGCGAAAGTGGGGGGGGGGG